AAAAAGGATGACTTAGAGAAGTTTGACTATGTGATAAATTTGACTGGATTTTTCATGAATTTGGTCAGTTTTATTTAGCAGAATATTAATGGGACAACAAGCTGAAACTTCAACATTTGGAAATAATAAAGTAGCATAAACAGAATGCAATTTAGGAGAAATTCAAACATTTTCGGAGCAAATGTTTAAAGCAAATGATGACATCTTTCAATATAAGCAATATTGATGAAGACTTCATGAGTTAATGGTGCTTATGGCACTTCAATATCAGGCCCAGGATCTAAAACGTCACCATTTTTAACTTCAAGCTGATTTAAAGATATCATTACAGAAGCTATATATTTTGGGGATACTATATTTTGGGGATGGGTTACCATACCATAGAACACCTGACTGTCACAACTTGGTGACAGATATAGATTTATTTAAGAAAAGTTATATAATATAGCTTTAATCTGTATATGAGAGAGAAACAAGAGAAATGATTGGCTTTTTTTTAGTTTTACACATTTTACAGAATTTTGCACATTGTTTTGAAATAGCACATTTAAAAACAACATAAATGTATGTACTGTTCATGAATGGCAGAGAAAATACAATTTTGATCGACTTTGATTAATTGTTTGAAATTCTGTGATTACTACACAGAAGTACTAAATAAAGATGTTAATGTTTTTTCCAGTTCTGTGTGTTAAATATCTAGGTGTTTTTATGTGAATGTGGGTCTTTTAGATCAATTTTTGTGAATTTGATCATGTTTCACATTTTATTGTCACATACTAGCGCTGGTCTTGGTCTTGACTCGGTCTCGGACCCTTAAAGTCTCGGTCTTGTCTCGGTCTCGATACACTCTGGTCTTGGTCTTGTCTTGGTCTCGGGTTAGGTGGTCTTGACCACAACACTGTCAACAATTCATTCTTCATTCTCTCTCAGTCTTTCCTCCTCTTTTCAGGACAGTAAATAAAAAGTTTTAGCTTGTGCAGGGAAGCATCATACTGACAGCTTCTTTATTGTTTGCACAGTTTGTTTCACACCAAGCTGCTTCCCTCCTTGTACCCTGTCTTTGCTCTTTCTTCTCCCATGCCCACACATGGGAAGAGCTCTCCGGCTAATTAGAGACTTTGCCAGTGGAATTCCAAAGGACAAAAGAAGCCATTCAGGTTGGGATGATGGTGAAAAGGCTTCGCTGGCAGAGACTTCTCTTTGAAACTCACCCTCTTGTAAAAACACCCAAGCTCTTGACTTAAATGAGCAGCTCTGCTCCTGTTTTATTTTTATTTTTTCCAGTTCATCCAAGTTTGACCTACACTGTAAAAAGGATGGATTAGACTTGACTTCTGTCACACACTCCCATCACACAGTTGTGACCATCCGGTCCTTTCCCGCTGTCTACATGGAGTTGATCTACCGTCTCTGTTGTTCATCTGACCCATATTCTTCAAAGCATTTGTGCTGTCTAACTGCTCTCTGCTGTGAGCTGATAGAAATCCCTTTTCACCTTGTCACAGTTCATCCACCTGTCGGCTGCATCTGCAGCTCCAGGAACCCTTTGAGTAAACTGATCCAGTGACCCTCAGCCTCATCAATTAGACAAATTAGTCTCGTTTAGTGGCTCTCGCTCTTCCTCTCACTTCCAGCTTTCGAATTATCCACCCGTCTGGCATTTCTTCAGGAACATTGATTGCTTGGTCCCACTCTTGGTTGTTTTCCTCTAATAAAAACCTCCGAATTGATGCATTAGGAATGGGAAGGTTATGGATTCATTCTTTCAGTTACCTGAATTACTATACAGCAGTTTATTGTTGCCCATGGCTCAAAAAGAGCCTTTTCTCCCCCAATACATGTTTGATTGTGCATTATGACCCAAAGACGCTCACTTGCCCTCATATGTTCCTTCATCTTACTGATCCTGTTTGTTCTGTAATGTTCTCTTAACCCTGTAATGCCAAATGTATCATATTTGATACAAACGGTTTCTGAAATGTTTTGCGTCTGACACCTTTTGTATAATTTAATGGTAAAAACTTTGCTCAAAATCTATTGTACACAATCAGATATACCTGATAACAGAGGGCAGAAGACTACACAAAAAATAATCTTGACTTATCGCATAGTAATAAATTATTAATATCAAAAATTTAGTTCTGTTTTTTTTTTTTTTTTTTTTTTTTTTTTTTTTTTACATATTTTGTTAAAAGGCCAAATAAGGACTTCAAACCAAACAAAAAGTAATTTTCTGTTTTGTTTTATTCTTGGATCGGGCTTTAAAGGGTTAATGACCTATGAAGCCACCACCGATCAGCTTTCTAAATACAAAGATTAAATGACATTAATTAGGGGACTTCTGAAGGCCTTTGACTGGACTGTAGTGTCAGGTGATAACCGCCTGAATTGAAATACATGCCACACCTTTCAGAGCTGTATCATTTCCATTATGTTGCTCTGCTTTGCTTTGGCATCATCCCTCAATATCACAGTGAAATAAGCTGAAGCTTGTTGTTTTAATTTGAGGAAGTTAAAAATGTTGGTTCTGCTATTTTGTTTTTATTTCAACTGGAAGATTGTGTGTGTTTGTGTTTTTAATGTGGTTCCTGCAGATGTGAAGTGAATTAGAAACAAGGTCAGAACAACATGTAAAGCCCCCCCATCCCCCAATCCATCCCCATCCTTCAAGCATTTCCTGTTTGAGGGGACCATAAAGACATGAATACCTTCCTTTTTCCTCTACCTCTTTAAAGCACTGTCATATTTAGGCTTTATGCTTTCCTTCCTCTTTGTCACAGTTCTGTCTCATATTTTGCAGATTCCTTCTTTTGCTTCTTTCTCTTGTTCTCGTTTTTACTGTATACAAAACAGCTGCCTTGTGCAAATAATGATCTCCTTGTTGAGTTGATCTTAATGTGCAACCCATGACGAAGCACATGAGCTGTGCTGATGATTTTGCCGATAGCATGTTTATTCCTAAAGTATCTTAACTTCAATTTAATTACCGTCTCTAAATAGAAAACAAGCCTGTTATTTATTTTTTCCCCTTTCTCTTTTTTTCTCTTCAGTTAATGACGTATTAAGACCTAAAGGATATAATATGCAGTGGTGTACAGGGACTTCCTGTCTCTCAGTTCCTTTTAGCTTTTGTCCGTTTACTGTGGTACAGAGGATGTACATGTTTTGCTATGGGGACCAATTAATTTCTGGCATATGGATATCAGACTGTTTTGAAGGATGCAGCAGGGCTGATTTCAGCTCTACTAGCTTTTAGTTGTGGCAGTAGAGAATTGCTGAAAGAAATAAAATAATACACAACACTTTAGCCTATGTACACTGGAAAAGTAATGCAACCGTTTTTGGTATCTACTTGATTATATTTAGTACTTCAACGTAATTTTTTCCATCTCATATCCTGCTAACAAGAAACATTTGTGTTAAGTAACTTAATATGATTAAGTAGATGCCAAGAACTGATGTATTATTTCTTTATTGTACTTTTTCTGGGTCAGAAATGGGCATTAAATGGCAAAGAAGTGAATTGAGCTGAATCCGTCGATGGCTTCCCCAAAAATGTATTTTTAAAACGACTTAAATTGTGCTTTATTACAACCGTTAAAGAGCTTAATATGAAATACCTAAGTGAAAAAAGGCGTGAATAATTTACAGTTGTTCACTCAGGTTTCTTCCTGTTAAAAGGGAGTTTTTCCTCTCCACTGTCGCTACAAGCATGCTTAGTGTGAGGGATTGTATTTGAGTCGATGCAATCAACTGGTTTTCCTTAGATAGAAAACTTTTTATCAATTTGACTGGATGATCTGGTTGAACTGTAAAGTGCCTTGAGATGACATGTTTTGTGAATTTGGCGCTATAGAAATAAACTGAATTGAATTGAATTCACAACAAAAGCAGATTAAGTTGTAATAAAAACAACAAGAAAAAAAACATTCTTTTGAGATTAAAACTGCCAACAGTCATACTTATGTAAAAACGTTTAAACTTGTAAACAGCAAAACTACGTCCCTATTTCCTAACTCTGCTGTGAGATCTAGGTATATTGTACATTGACAGTAATATAAAGTTGTATATCATCAGCATATACATGTCAAGGGAGCAGTTAACCATTAATTGGTCAAGGATGTCCCTTTAAAAAAATGACTGAATGTGGCCGAGAATAGAGCCCTGAGGAACTTAAAGCATTATTTTGTTCATTCAAATTTATATTCGCAAAATGGCTCAAAATGATCCATGTTTTCAGGTACGATTCAGCCCTTTACCCAGAATCCCACCCACTTATCATGTTTGTTATCAGCTGTGCCTGAGATACAGTAAAGCCATAAAAAGCCACATAGAATTTCAAAATTTTCAGGCTTTCAAAACTCTAATAATCCCAGTAGACACTTTGAATTCTCCATGTCTGGCTTAATTATTTAAATATCAATTCAATTAAACTGCCCTGATTGAAATAGAGCAAGTTATTTTTTTTTCAATCTAGTCCAATGATAGTAGGTATTATTAAAAAAAGGCTTAAATATTAAAACAAATATCAGACATTAAGAACCGAGCTAGCTCAAATAATTTCAAAACTGTGATAATATGCTATATAATTTGATTATCACACATTTTTAAAACCTGTTTCAATGGTTGTAAGAAAATGGGTGATTTATTATAGCATGGCTTTCTTAGATAAATGTGTGGCGCTCATCTGTCTTCAAAAGACAGATTTGTGAGTCTGAGATCAGAATAAAGCAATGGAAGAAAAACATGGGTAGAAAGACAAGAAAGAAGTAAATTATGACAGAAAAAAAAGGGGTTTAGAGGAACTACTTGAAGTAGATCAGTATGTTCATAAGGTGAACATATGGGGGGAAATGAAGCTAGAAAAATTAGGGAAAGAAAAGGGTTAAGGAGTGAGAGCACAATCTGTATTGTATAGTTTTATTTTCTACATTTTTTTTGCTTTGAAATCTTGGCTGCTGAGAAATCCTAAGCTGTCCTAATTTTATCTCTTCCAGAACAGAAACAAGGTGGACGTCACAACGCCGGAGGGCCGTGGAAATCACTAACAGCACGCACGTACGCGAAGACTATGATTGGTAGGTTCCGTTCTTCCTGTCGTCTGATGTGTTTTGCAGCAATAAATGTACGTTAATCATGTATGCACGCACAGCGTTGCCTTGGAAAGCTGCTGTGCTGCTTGTATAGCTATTCATTATCACGCTAAATGACAGTTATCTTTTACATAGGAAGCACACTGGTATAGCTGGATATTCTGCTTCTCCTCTGATTAAAACAAATATGGTTAGATCTGAGGAACTTTCAGGTATTAATCTCAGTTTTAAAGATCTGGTTTCTATTTCATTCACTTCAAAATATATGAGAACTGTGATTAAAACCAGAGCAGGGTGCGCAAATCAGAACTAATTTTTTTTTTTTTTACAACATACTTGTATAGATACCTCCATACACCTTTATGTGATTAAATATCCTTTTAATTCTGGCTCCTTATTTGAGCATCCTCCTCTGTGAAATTAGTAGCTTATTTAAATTGGTTGGTTTCATTGAAGGCCACAGCTTCATCAAATTCAAAACCATTTAACCGCAATACCTAACAATTCTCCAGCTGAGTAGCCGTCCTTCTTTATTATGCTTTCATTTTATATCACTGACATGTATGTCTGATATCAAGTTTCCCCACAGCATGATGCTACGTTAACTGTGCCTGCATTGTAAAAATGATCTCAAAATTTGTAAAAAAAATGTCTTAAATTAAGGGTATTTACCCTTAATTTGAGCAGGTAAATAAGATGATTTGCCAATGGAAGTAGTATTTTTAACTCTTAAAATAAGGTATCTAGATAAAATGTACATGAAATAAGACAATGCAATTGTTTTTTCTTATGTTAAGTGTAAATTGTCTTGTTCCATTGGCAAAGTGTCTCTACGGTGGCCCTGAAGTGCAAACTGCAACTACAAATCTAAAAGCGCAACTACATTAAGGAAATCGCAACTACATAAATCAAAGCGCAACTACATTAAGGAAATCGCAACTACATAAATCAAAGCGCAACTACATTAAGGAAAACACAATTACATTAACCTACCGGAAAAGGTAGGTATCAGTGGAAAACATGACACATCGCTGATTGGACGACGGCGCCTTTTGACCCTTGAACTGGAAGTCATGGAAAACATGGATATTGTCGGCACCCCAAACATAGCTGCCGTTATCCAGAAATGTTTTGAATCAGGACATACGTACGAGGTGATACTGGATATGCTCAAGACTAATCACGAAATTTCAGTTAGTTTGCGTACACTGAAGACACACTTAAAAGAAGCTGGACTGTTCAGACGACGCAACTTCCGGTTCAAGGGTCAAACGGCGCCGTCCTTCAATCAGCGATGTTTCATGTTTCCCACTGGTACCTACCTTTTCCGGTAGGTTAATGTAATTGTGTTTTCCTTACTGTAGTTGCGCTTTGCTTTATGTAGTTTTGTTTTTCTTAATGTAGTTGCGCATTGCTTTATGTAGTTTTGTTTTTCTTTATGTAGTTGCGCTTTTAGTTTTGTAGTTGCAGTTTGCACTTCAGGGCCACCGTAGTCTCACTTAAATCCTTAATTCAAGAAAAAATGCATTTAATTTAAGAAGAAATGACTTATTTAGATTTCATTTTTTTGCAGTGTGAGTGTATTTCATTTTTCTCTGAAGCCTTTACTGGCTAAACATTTAATTAAGAAAATTTAAGAAAAGGGAAAAACATTCCCATCATACTCTTTAGAGTTTATTTTCTCACTCTTGCCAAATAAACACTGTGAGATAAAAAGCAAATTAAAAAAATCTTGCGACGAACACATTTTTCCTCAGTTTTGGATGTTAAAAACAAACAGGTCTCTGTGATTGATGGTGTTTGCAAATGGTTTAAAATGTGTTTTCTCATCTCTGGCTGCAGCAGTGACCTTTCAAAGGCCCCTCGGGACGGCCCTCCCCATCATGGCCGCCCCCACTGTACAATATCTCTACACACATTAGCCAGAAACCCTCTAAGGGAGGTGAGATGTAGTAGGAAAGTTGTTCTTTTTGTGATGGATCAAGGTTAAAGGGATATTTTAGAAGGTGTGTTTCAGCCCCAAGAAAGTTGAGAGCTGCTGACATGTGGCCTACACGTTCGGGGTTAAGGGTTGACGTGCACCTTCGTTCACTTGGGTGCTGTATGTGCAGCTGAGTGTGTGACTGTGCAGATGTGTGTCTGTAAGCGCCTGTGTGTCTTTCACTAGGGGTGCTAGGCGAGGAGGTGGGATCGGTCTCCCATCGCTGAGCTAAAAGCAAGCCTGCCAAACACCTCGTAAATCTCACCTCCCGCTACATGCCGTCCTTCTGATGTAGCTGCAGCAGTGCATGCTCACACAGACCACGCATGCATTTTGTGGGGCACGCTGCATGGAAGTTCCTGTCAAAAGCAGAAGTGAAATTGGAAAAATAACGTGATGTATGGTGTGTCTGTAAGCGGCGATTTTTTTTGGAACACTTATAAATAATTTCTTTTCAAACAAAAGGAAGACGTAACATCTGGCTCAGTTATGTAAAGGTGTTCTGACTAAAAGCCTCCAGTTCTCTGTTAAGTTTGAGCTGAATGTGCAATGTTTTATTTTTCTTTATTTTAGAACATCTGCTGCTTTCTTGCCCTTTTCACCTGTCTTCAGTAACATGCAAAGCTGCCATTAGATTTAGAGAAGCATTCCTCCCTGCTACAAGCCAGATCTTATTTATAACAATAAGGAGTCACAATCAGAGATGGTTTACAGAAGCTGGAAGTTCAGCCAAACTATCCCCTATTTATGAAGTGTTTAGACTCCTCACATTTTTTCACGTTACAAACACAAGCCGCAATATATTCAAATGGAAATGTATGTAATAGACTTAAACAAAGTAGGGTGCAGTTGTTCAGTGGAAGGAAAAGGAATGTGTGGCAGAATCCTGACAACGTAAATCAGTCTGCAAACACCATTGTGAAACCTGGTGATTGCAAGATCGTGTTGTGGGGATGTTTTTTTTTTTTTTTTTTTCCTCAGCAGAGACAAATCCTGAAGGAAAACATGTTGATCTGCCTTAGTTTGAGATTCGGTTCCAAGTTCAGCCTCCAGCCTGCAGGATACAAACCCTAAACATACCGCCAGAGCTACAATGAAGTGGTTTAGATTAAAGGATTATCATGTTTTATTGGCCTATCCAAAGTCCAGACCTAAGTCCATTTAAGGGTATCTTACAAGACTTAAAAATTAATGATTACAGAATCTACCTGCAGTGTACAACCTGAGTCAAACGATGCTCCATTTTGCCATACAAATACATGACAGAAACATGGGTGATTTTTTAATACAGATCTATCTATTTATAGTTTTATTGCACAGAAAGGAAAAAGAACAAAGACATTTCTACAATAATCTTATTAGCTAATCATAACCTGTTTAAAATAAAATGTCTGCAGCATATTAATAGATATAACCAATTGAACATTATTTAGTCTTCACCAGTCTCTCCCATTGTGCCCTCCTCCATGAGCCAGGATGTGATTATTTAGTGAAAAAAAAGTTACTTTACAGGTGATACTTTAACAAGATCATGAGTTGATGAATCGAAGCAGCTTGAAAAACACCTGCCTACAGGGCTTTGGAAGGTAACAGGTAAATGCACAGTAATGCAGCATCTTTTTAACAGCTTTACTTTTATTCAAAGCAACAGTAACGCTACACGTTGGACCTGCTTTGTAAAACATTATTTTATTTTCTGCTGCAGTTGTTTCTACCGTTTCTTAAAAAGTCGAGAGACAGCTTCCTCTGTCCCACCTTCTGTTCACCACAGAGGAAGACGATCAAAAAGAAGGATTACATTTTTTCTTACTCATGTAGACAAAAAACAAGCTAAAACAGCAACAAAAAAAATTAGCAAAGGAAGATTTCACATGCAGTTGTCAACTAAAGTTTGAATAAAGAAAATACATGGAAAATGATCCAATATACAGCTTTCACCATGAAAAGCCCTGAGAGAAGGAGCAATATTGGATGTATCATGTCATTCATTTCACCGTGTGGTAGGAATCAATACACAGAGTGTTAACATCATCTCTGGAGATGTTTGTAAATTTCAGCAAAATCTCAGGCTTTAGTTGTTCAGTGCAAATGCACCGCTTAAAATGTATTTATTTATTACATGGGGTCCCTAGATGATGAAAAAAGGACTTCTAATCGCTGCTAGAGGGTGAGTCTTCTTTGTTGCTCTTCACAATGTTGCACATTTTATTCAATGAACTTGATTTGCTCATTTTAATCCATCTTAAAATGTTTTATATTTTTGCAAATTTTCCTCCATGTGTGGAAATCACTATCCATCCATCCATTTTTCATCACGCTTATCCCAAGCGGGACCGGGAGGGGTGCTGGTTTCATCTCCAGCTGTCTACGGGCGAGAGGCGGAGTACACCTTGGATAGGTCGCCAGTCCATTAGTCCAATTGATCTTAACAGTCATGTTTTTGGTAGGGGTGGGTATTGGCAAAGAAGTCACGATTCGATTCGAATCACGATTCACATGCCACGATGCGATTCAATCACGATGCATCATGATTACTCAAATCTCAATGGTATTTTTATTTTTTTTTTGTACTTTATTTTTGATAAGATTTTCCAGAATACAACACCAACACAAAAAAGAGGCAATATAACCATAATAAAAAATTGTTAATTAACATACAGGTGCTGGTCATAAAATTAGAATATCATGAAAAAGTAGATTGATTTCAGTAATTCCATTTAAAAAGTGAAACTTGTATATTATATTCATACATTACATACAAACTCATATATTTCAGATGTTTATTTTGTTTAATTTTGATGATTACAAATGACAACAAATGAAAATCTCAAATTCATCATATCAGAAAATTAGAATATTACTGAAGACCAATAAAAACAAAGGATTTATAGAAATGTTGGCCAACTGAAAAGTATGAACATGAAAAGTATGAGCATGTACAGCACTCAGTATTTAGTTGGGCCTCCTTTGGCCTGTATTACTGCAGCAATGCGGCGTGGCATGG